GATGAATTGTAAAACTAACAGGAATTGGAACAAAAAAAAGAGCTATGTAATTAAAAAAAAAAAGTCAGAATTAAAGTAAACTATTTGTATTGTCTGCTTTAAATAAATTGTAGTTTTCCCTTTGCATATGTATGTTCTTTTGAGTCATGATTCCCCGCAGTTTGGATATTTGGGCTATTTCATACATTATATGTTATCTGAATTGTTTTACCACCACCATGGTTGAAATGTAGCCCACCAATTTTAGTCATGAAATCCATTGAATGCCCTACACATTGTCCTTGTCATTCATTGTAGGAAACATTTGCCTTCTCCGGAATGTGCAGATTTTCAAGATAAAATGTGGTCTCACTGTGGACTGTGACACTAGTATTGCAGCATCTTCCAGCTGGAAGTAAGGTTGAGCGTTGGAGGGTTTGAGTTGTCTCGGTAACATATTGAAGCTAAAGTTTTGGGTAAGTGTCAGGGCACATCTATAAAACCATTGCTTGTAGACAGCTGTTACAAAGAGGACTTTGAGTCTGCAGTTGTTTAAAAATGCCTCTAAAAATATATTTTTAAGCTTGTGTAAATTTATAATTTCCCTTTTAAAGATGTTTTTTTATTACTCTACCTAATGGTAATCTTAAATTAATCTGTTTTCATGCAAGAAAATAAATGATTTATTCTGCAGCCAATCAATATTAAGGTTAGTATGTCTGGACTTGTTCAATAAAAATGATTTAAGCTCCTGTCACACCTTGACAATGTAGACAGCGTGTGCCTGATTTCCCAGAATCTCCTAAAACGCTGGCATACGCTGAACTTTCTATTTTTTTTATTTTGGGCATATACATAGAGTATTCATAAAGAGTCCAGAACTTATGTCCACGACAGCCTAACTTATGCATAATGCATGGCAGCGTAATATCCATAAAATCTTAACAAGCCAGTGTCCTGAGGGGGCAGCAATGTGCCCGAAGGCGCCCGGTCTGCATAAAAAGATTATTTTGATCACAGTATTAACCTAGCTGCTGTTTTGCTTAGAAAGCTTTTAACAAATCTCACCAAGTAATTTGATTGATGTGTCTCCGTAATTTGCTTGTAGATGCAACATGTTGTGACTCGGTGCTATGTAAATAAAACTAATTGAATTAAATTATTAAAATGTCGTATGATATTTCCTGCTTAGAGTAAAAACATTTCAAACAGAAGAGAGTGGTCTAAAACCATTTAAGGCCATCCTAAATTCATGTAAACCCATAAAACCAGAGCTGTTTAAGAAATGACACAAATATAAATGAGAAACTATGCACAGCATTTATTTCATTTTCATTCAACATTGCAATGCAAAAAGGACCACTGCAAAGCAGAGATGTATTATTTATAAGCATTAGCTAAGACACATAAATAGCTATTATTTAATAACATAGGTATTACAATAAACATTACAATATAAATGCCTTTATTTTGAATATTAACAGTCCTTTGTTACACATGTACAATCCTCTTTTGCCTTTCTTTATAACAAATGCAATTCATTTTAAGTGTGTCTGCTAAGATTTATCAAAACTGAATTCCAAACGTTTTGGGTGATAAATAACAGCCAGTACTCTAAATTGATCAGAGACTAAAAAATGTTTTTATACTTTTTCAGATCATAGGTCCAGAGTCTATAAGTGGACAATAAAAAAGAGCCATGTATTTTTTTTTTTCACTAAATCAAACTATTTGTACTGTGTACTGTAAATAAACTGTCATATTCACTTTGTACATGTTTTATGATCTTTGGAGTTATGATTCACCACAGTTTGCATATTTCAGGCTACTTCATACATAACATGTTATCAGTTGTATGTTTCGGGCTTACAGAAATCATCCTAAATCTTAAACCAGTAATGTCTATTCCCAACTAATCTCCAGATTAAATACATATAAGTGTTTGGCACGTTAAGTTCTGTAAACAAAAAAAGCTTTTAAACTTTTAAAATTTACAAGAATGAACAGATGACACAGATTTGCATTTCAACAACGGAAAGTGTCTCTAAAGGATTTAACTAGCTAGACTAGACGTGTTGTCAAGTTCACACCCATGAGTCCAGCGGGGGAGGTTTGTTATCCATGAGGCCCACTGCAGGCCTGCCAGCTCTGATGAAGTGTTTTCTCTCACTTATCGCCTGTGTCAGAAAAAAAAGGTCATTTACCGTAAGAAACACAAGAAGGGAATCCTGATGATTCATTATGTATGTCATCATCTGGAATCATTAATTAAGTAATCTTGACATTAAAAGATTAAATAATTTAGAAATCTGATCACCTGTGGAGCATCTCTTTCCACAACAGGCCCCTTTCCGTCTGCAACTCGGTCATTTGGCTCTAAGGTGGAATACACATCTGGAGCAGATGGTGACATGACATCAAATAGTGCCTTTTATCATCATTTAGGTTGAATATATATGGAAAAGTTTCTAACCTTGGCTTTTCTCCATGAGAGGCAATGTGATGTCATCACTGTTTTGTTGTTTTCCATTCTTGTTTTTTTTAGTTACCCCTGAAGCTGTTGGCTTTAAAAAGGAAATACATATTAGATATCATATTAAATTCAAACATAATCACACCTTTAGCTTATTAGACATATGAAGTTATCTTGTGCCCTGGTATTCTGCAACTTATTGTTTACATGGTTCTCTGTTTCTGGATTCTGGATTATAAACAATGATTCATTCAAATGTATTTGTTTTTGCTTCAGATGTGAGTCCCTTAGCTGCTCTATAGTCAATAAAGTCAACAAACCTAACCTACTCAAGTCAATCCAACCCTAACCTAACAAATATAGATGCATCGATCCAGTTTTTTGAAATCCAATCCAATACCAATACCTGGGCTGAGTGCATTGGCTAATACTCGATACCAATTCAAATCAACTGTTGAATGAATTAACCGTAAATAATGTCAATGAGGGCTTTAGCCTTGACAAAAAATGTTTTAGATATAAATTTATTGTTGTTATTTATTAAAACGTAATCATCAAAAGGAAGAAAAAGCAGTTCAATCTAAAGTGCACTGGATTGGATCTCTGATATCAAATCCAGTAAAAAAGTAACAAAGTAAATTTACTTGATAACTTTTCTTAAGTACTTTTTTGAGTATCTTTACTTAACTTGAGTCATTTTTGGGGGTTACTTATAACTTTTTATCTACTACATTTCAAAGACGAGTATTGTACTTTTTAATCCACTCCATTTCTAATAAGCTGCTAGTTTCTCTTTCCTTGTGGCTCAGTTTAGCTTTGTAATCCACTGTTTTCTTTTTTGAAATACAATTTCAACATGACAGATAGCAGCCTTTGGGACTGAATTTGGACACCACTGTTTTAGAGATTTGCATGACGTTCCACAAATTACATAAAAACTCAGTGCAGATATTATTTGTAGTTTATAAATTTTATTAAGGTGTTAGTTGTTGCCATGTGGCCAAGTTGTTCAGTATGGTGAGTTGTCAAAGCAGAGCTTTATTGTAGTTTCTTTGTGGTATAGATTCGAACATAAACCTCTATCCTATAGTGACAGTGCAAGGAGAATCAAGACTCTCCTGTTTGCTTTTTGGTTTGTTTTTGAATAATAAATAAAGTTGGAAATAGCTGTCATCGGGGTTTTTTTGGCATTTTTATATTGAAGTTCTTCACAGATGGTGTAGAATTTGTAGCAGGTGGTTCTATGCATCAATATAACAGATGGTTTCTGAAAATTACAAGGTTATTTAAAATTATCTGAAAATTATGCAAAAATGTATAAATATTAGAAAATGGAATTTGTATTTTTGAAAACTTAAGTACTTTAAAATGCATGTACGTTTGAGTACTTACATGAGTGAGTACTGTAGTTTTCAGGAGAAAAGTGAGTACTTTAATACTTTAACTTGAGTGGATTATTGACTGAGTTACTTTTGCTTGTAATTGAGTAAGATTTGACTATGAGTATCCATACTTTTACTCAAGTACTACAGTTGAGTACTTCGTCCACAACTGATTAAATCAGCGATATCCAGTCCAGGTAATTAGTCAATATCTGGGCTGATATCTGATTCAGGTATTGGATCAGTTCATCTCTACCAACAACCTGGTATCTTTTGTGTTATAATTTTTTTTAAAATGAAGTAAAATACCTTGAAGTGGCTCTTGTTCCATCCCGCCTTAATCAGGGTGTGCCTTAGCTCCTTGTAGGCCCATATTGTCTGAAGTACATGTGAAGCTGCTTTGGTCTCTCTTGCCGATTGGCTGAAAACATATGGTTTTAGAGAGCATGGTGAATGAGAAAAAAAAATAATCCTCATCTGCACAAGAAACTGTTCTTGTGCAGATGAGGATTATTTGGTGGTAAATATGAGGCACTCTTTAAACCCAAGGTGTGACATTTTCAGAGATTCTGAATCTTTTGCACATTCTATTAAATCCACGTTTAGAATTCTAGCTTCAAAATCACTATCACTGGTTCAAATGTATGTCAAATTTCTCCATGATGTGTTTTTATACCTTGACTTATTTATAGCCACCAGTTTCTGCACAGCATGACCCTGTATGAGAACTCGAGCGTTTTCAGGGTTATCTGTGATGATCTCGTAAATCGTGTTCAGAATAGACAACACCGTATCTCCTTCCAGATTTTTCACAGGGTGCTGCTGCCCACAGGGCAAGTTAGCGACAAGGTCCCTCAGAGCGTAATTTCCTGTAACAGACAGACATATGGGCAGAGTGCTGTCAGTCTGCAGATGTTGACCACTGTCAATGAAGCTGAGAGTCTTAATGCTTTACCGATCAGGTCTTTATTTCTTCTGTCAATGGCGAGGTTGCGAAGAGCGATGGCCACTGCTCGCACCACTTTGTCCACATCTGAGCGCAGCAGCTCCACTAAAACTGGAAGTCCTTTCTCTTTTCTCACTGTGGCTCGAATGTAGCTCGACCACTGTAAGAAACACCAGCCTGTTGCCTCAATCAAATCCTTGATTCTTTCAAAGGATTAAAGAAATATTGAGAGGAGCTTTGTTGCATTACTTGTAACTGGAAACATTTCTTTGTGATTTGATTGGTTGTATCTAGGGCTGCAATTAATGATTATTTTGCAAATCGATTATTCTGTTGATTATGTTTTTGATTAATCGATTATTAATTGGATAACCAAAGTTTCCTTAAAGAAGATTTTTATGTAATTAAACCGGGTGAAACTAAAACTGAAACTTCCACTTGAGGAGACCTGTATAGAGCGTATTAGACTTGGACTTAGAGAATTCTAGACTTAGACAAGTCCTGATATTGACAGACGAAATAATTTTTTTCTTTTATCTTAAATGCAAAATGTTTATATATTTTTTTTTAATTTTGGTATAATTACTGCTCTATCAGCAAAGGTATATTTTAAAGTCTCTATACTCCATTTAATGATTAATCGATTACTAAATTATCCATCCATCCATTATCTGACATGCTTGTCCCAATTGGGGTCGCGAGGGGTGCTGGTGCCTATCTCCAGCAGGGCAAAATTAGTTGAACATTATTTCAACACTAAAAAAGTAGAAATCTAAATAAGTAATTTTTACTTAAAATAAGTGAATTTTTTTCTTGGATTTAGGAACTAAGTGAGACACTTTACCAATGGAACAAGACAAATGACATTTAAAGTAAGAAAAAACAACTGCACTGTCTTATTTTAAGTGCATTTTATTTAATTATCTTATTTTAAGTGTAAAAATACTCATTCCATTGCTAAATCATCTCATTTACCTACTAAAAATTAAGAGTAAATATACTTTTTTCAAGACATTTTTACTTATTTCTATATCATTTTTGCAGTGAATAATCAATTCATCATGATTAATCTGATTAATTGTTTCAACCTTTGTTGTATCTGATTGAAAGATCATAGGATCTTGAAAGTCTTAAAGGGTTCATAGAATGCAAAACCGAGTTTAAATTTTCATCGATGAATAACGATGGTTCAGTTGGTGAAATGGACGTACAGAGAAGTTCAAACCCCATCGACACCTCCTTTCTATGTAAATCTCACAATTCTAAACTTCCACCATGAAACAGGCAAATCCAAACGAAGCCCCGGGTTGCCGTAAGCTCTTGGATGTTGCCTTATTTGGTTCGGGCCTGTATTTATGTCACGTCCCGAAATTGACATACGTACAGTACAGACCAGCCCAGTGGTTCACTGGCCAAAGGTGTGGAGGGGCAGTGTCGACTGCCGGGCCGCTGAATGGACCAGAGCTCAGCATGAGCGGCCCGTCCTTAGCCGGAGAAGGGGGGCACGGGACCAGTAAGGCAGACTACTGTCACCAGGTCGGGTTCAGTTCCTCCATCCCCGCTAATTCCCTGCTGCCGTCCACCGGAGTTCCCAGACCAGCGCCGGAGCTGACGGCTCGGTTGGGGTGCACGGTGTGTTTCAACTACGTGCTGCAATGTAGTGGACCAAAATCTCTGTCGATTTAGAATTTCCCCTAAATCTGGTCTGGTCACCCTTCCATATCAACAATTTCGATGTTTCAGTGACTGAGTGCTTGTTGCTATGATGTGTTATTGCTCAGGAGCTTTGCTCGTTGTAAACCAACCAATCAGTGCACAGCTCATCTAAATATTCATGAACATACCATAAAAGGAAGAAAACCTGTCACTTCATTATAGGGCTTTCAACCAGGCTTGCATTACGGCTCATAGAACAGCAAATATGCCATTTTCAGCCCAACCAATGTTCCCCACCCTCTCAGAGACCTTAAGGACCAGCACCAAATACCCTATATAATCATTCTATGACCCCTTTAAATCACTTTTACACTCAGAGGATATTCTCATGTTTTATTTTAGATGCAGACATATGGCGCATCTAAGGGAAAATTCTGTTGTAGCTGATGTTTTTTTCCTGATGATCTTGGCTGGAGACAAGGTCAGTGCACATTTACATTAGGTTGATTAATGAAGCCACCTAAAAAAACAAAACAGGCCAACTGAGAAAAGAAGCATCGGATACTCATGGCCCCCCTACTTCTGGCCTCTAGAAATTGTCTTGTTTGACCCTTCACTGCACAGGCATTTTTACACTTTATTCATAGTACTTTATTTCAGTACAGTTCTATTTTAAGTCGGTCCTCAAGCTGAACAGCAGAGACAGTAACCATGCTGACAAGAAGCACGTCCTGGATCTGATCCTAAGACACTGAGATGATGTTTACAAACAGTGACAGCAGCAGTGGTGACTTCACCTACATAATTGCTCATTCTTAGCAGAGAGTGTAGCATCGAAGTAAAATCAGCCATATGTGCTGTGAATAATACTCCATGTGACCTGAATAAAGCTCCTGTAATTAGTGGATGAAAAATAACTTTGAACTTTTCCATTTGCTTACAGCCCAGTGTCCCGCAGCGAGGTTCTGCAGCGCTCCTGCAGCTGCCTCCAGGGTGTTGTGGTTGTGACTGCAGGTAAGAAGAGAGAGGTAAAGCCTCACCACCTCTGGCTGGTACAGCAGATCCAAGCCTTCAAGAGAAATAAGGAGACAAAGTCAATCGTTTTTAACCTATTTTATGAAAACCACTTTAATTTAGCCTATTTTATCAGGATGCAAAAAACAAAGATTGATAATCCAGGTTCCAGAAAGTAAAAAGCCTATACAGAGATTAGTTTCAACCATTTGTTTTCCCAGCTCCAATACAGAACGAGGAATAATCACCTGGTTAAGTTATCAGGATTAAGGAAAACTAGGCTGTTTTTTTAACCTTCTGGACCTGGATTATCCACCTCTGGCACAAACACAAACTCTGTCTTTTTAAGGGTGGGGGGACGACCAGAAAGAGCTTCATAATTGTGAAATGGAAGGGCTTATATTGTGTTCAATAATTGGTAACAAATAAAAATACAGTGTGCATTGGTTTTCAGCACATAAAACGATCCTGGGTAAAAACTTTATAGAAAGGTTTGTTGAAAATCCCTCTGCACTTTTTTTTTTTTTGTTTTTTGCCCTTTTTTTTTTTTAAATAGTTCTATGTCATCCATGGTCGATGGGGAGCATCTATAAGCAGAAAATTTCAAGACTTGCCAGAGATTCTCAGCTGAATTTCCTTCTGAACTTTGCCTGGGCCATTTGAGATTTGAATGTGATTTGATCCAAATCATTGGATTATAAAGCAGGTTTTGCTCTATGTTTAGTGCTGTCCGGTGGGAAGATAAAATCTGCCTCAGGTCGTTTACTTTCCCTGCAGGATTTTCTTTGGGAGTACTATGTTAGGTGATACTGACTGCCAGTTTAAACAAATATAGCACTTTGAATGGTCTACCTTGACTGGATCACCCTCTTATTAGGGCTGAACAGTATTTCAATATCAATATATATTGTGATATGGTTTAATTCAGTATTGATAATATGACTTTTAAACCCATCTCTGATATTTCTATATATATTATATTCTATGAATATGGCATTTGTCACTGACTGGATGTTCCAGGTTTTCATGTGGTTTTATTGTTTTTGTGTTTCAATGCAAATGTATCTTAAATGTTATGTTGGAGGATTTTTATAAACACCAAAATATTTGTCATAAGTTTGTATAGACATTTTTTGGGGGCATTCTTGGCTACCTTTCTAAGGCTTTTATTTTTTCTACATCTACTGAAAGTAAGAAAAAATCGTAATATAATTTTTCTGTCTATATGTCATATCCTGGCTCTTCTTCATTTTTGCTGTGTAATAAACATGGCTTGTACGCTGGTAAAGATTGTCAGTCATATAGGTCATAGTCATTCCAATAAAAAGAAAATCAAAAACAATCCACTGGACTTTGTTTCCAAGTGAGGGTAGTGAAACGTCTTTAAACTTGGAAACAAAGTCCAGGGATTGTTTTTAATTTTCTTTTTTTGAAACATGGCTTGTCGTTATCTTTACTGCAACATCATTAGATATCTTTAAACAATTTTTTAATTTTGTTTCTTAAAGACCATTATGTTGAATGAAGTAACAATTAGTATGCTGTCACCAGATTCTCCCACCTGAGCTATGAACCCCTGTAGCTCCTCTGGTGTTACCAGGGGGTTGCTTGACTGCTTCTGTAACTTTTCTTCCATTTCACCATTATGTCCTCTTAAAATATCCAGACTTTTATGTTTGCAAGTAAAATAAATGTGAAGAATTTCAATTGACATTGATTCTTTAGAAAGGCACTGTGTTAAGCTTTAGATTGTCTTCTATTTAAGTAAAGTTTAGATTGTAGATTGTAGGTTAGTAGACACATATACAGAGTGCAATAAATGAGACAACATTGAATAGAAAATACAACTGTAGCAGACTCATGAACTGATTATTTTGCACTGAGCCAATGTAGGCAGCTGGATGGCTGACAAGTATAACAGTACAAGGCTGACCCTGAACTGTAACATGATTGTCAGTCTGATTTGCATTTACTGGCTGCAGCGTAGGAGGCATTAGCTAAGCTCTGATCTCTGTTTTAATGGCAGTCAGAGCTACATGCCTGCAGCACCATGGGTTTTCTTCTCCCCAGTTTTTTTTTTTTTACTTTTTATTTTCACACTGTACTCATGGCAACAAAAAGCAAACACAAAGCCAAACACAATGTGAGCACGGTGCAGTGGCAAAGGAAGACATGTGGAGTAGATAAAACATGCAAGTGTTTAAAGCCCGGCCAGTGCCAGCATTGTATTTCTGTCATTCTCTGTGCTGCAAACTAAAATGCTCTCAGCAGCTCGGATGTTTGGTCGTTTTGCTTTAATGGTGCAGGTGCTGATGTGTGGAGCTGCATCTAAATGAGTTCCTTCCCAGGCCATGCCAATGTCATGCTTATACAGCAGAAAGAGTCCAGAAAGCAGCTAGAGCCAGGATGGTTGAGTACTATAAGATGATGACGAGGGGGAAGATGATGATGATGAGCCATATAAAGGCTATTTAATAGAATACACATATTATATTGTATCTATTAGTCATTACCTTGATGAAGATACTCCTTTTTTTGAAAGTTAAACTGAAGTCTATGTTTTATTTGTACCTTTTATCAGTTCTGCACATTTTGGTAAATCCAAAGTGTTGTATTTCCTCTCCATAAATCCATTTTTCCAACCTATACGTCACAGATAAACACACATGCACACAAACACAAGCACCAATTTTCTTTTCATTAGCAGGCAGATACAGACAGCAGAAAAAAATATCACAGCAGCATTGATTCACAGTATCCACTGCTTTGAAGATTTTCTCTCATAGCTGGCAGACTGACCTTGACTGAACCACTCTTCTGATGAGCCCAGGTTGGAGGGAGAAAAAGAAAAGAACAATGTCATAGATTAGATTGTGGTGCAAAGGAACATAGAGCTAGAGAAGCAAGCAGAGCTCCTCCATGTGGCGACACACTGAGTTGCTGATTGGATCAGTTTGAGTAATCTGTAGTTTTCAGGAGAGCAATAAATGAACTATTGGAAATAACTCCAATCTTTCTCGATGAAGAAAAAAATATCATTGTTTATAACTGTGCATCAATTGTTAACGAATGGAATTTTGAAAATAAATAATCCTGCAATCTTACTGCGGACATAAATGTCCAACAACTTCTTTGTTTGTTTTATGGAACAAAACAAACAAAATCTGCAAACCAAAAATGGATGTAGAAATCAAGGCCACATAAAGGCTTGTTGTTGACAGAGTAATAATAAAGCTGTGGAGAAATGTACACACCTGGACCGCTACAAGCACATGACTGTCCACCAAAACAGACACAATGGGCAGAGAAAGCATTAATCAGAGAAGCTCCACAGAGGCCTGTGATAACATTTGAGGGGATGCAGAGATCCACGCCGGAGGTGTTAGAATCAACAAATCTGGCTTTTATGAAATTCTGGGCCAGAAGAAAACAGTTCTTGAACTAAAGTAGTAAGAAAAGGGGAATGCTTTTATTCAGCAGGGACAAAGACACATCAAAGCATATATGTGAGATAGAATAGCCCAGCCAAAGTCCAGACCTGCATTCAAATGAGAATCTTTGATCACTTGTGAATACATATTTCACTGGTGTTACTTATTTCAGAAAGCAGAACAAACTCAGACGAGTTTGTTCTGCTTTCCAACAATAAAAGACCAAATATTTGAAGGCGCACAGAGCTTCTGCTTCGATAAAGCAAAAGGAGACTCCACAAAGTATGTCTTTGGGGAGTAAATACTGAATATGTATATATAAGTTAAAGTTTAAAGGATATGAATACTTTTGCAATGTATTTCATAAGAGGCGTGCATTGAATAACCAACTCAGTTAGAGAATTATCATTGTTAGAGTATTCATTAAATATATCCAAGTTTTATAAAATCCTTAGATTTGCTGCATACCACAGAGTTTAAAAAAAAAATGCCAGTGCAGGTATAGATCTATAGAAGTATAGAACTTCAACCGGATAAAAACTGTAAATTAGGAAGGAAACATCCGCCTTTTAAAATGCATCACTGACACTGATATTAATTAATTAATAAATGTTCATTCCAACTGCAAGTGCATTGCATCAGAAAAGGAAGGAAAAGTCCACTTTAGTGAGTATGAATCCTCGACCGAGTCCCTCGGGAATGTGCCTCGCTCAGAACATTTCACAGATGAAAAAAAGCGCTTGTTCAATGCAGTATGTGGTGCTTGAGGGAAGGACAAATAAAGCTTGAGATTTGTACTTTGAAAGTCAAGAAAAAAAATAACTCTATATAGTGGAGAGAAAAAGACATTTGCTTTGCAAACATTGAAGATAATCGAATTCTTCATTAACCGTTATTTAATTTACAAACCTTTGGGTCTTTTCCCTGCACAGCATTCAGGCTCGTTCTTCTTCTTCTGATGCCCCACTGTTCTCATCAGATGTCCAGCATGGGGCTCGTGAAATCGCTCAGCTCCTGGGATTTCTTTATGAACGTGATAGGAAAGGTTTCGAAGGATACACACGCAGTTTTCCACCGACTAAATTGCAAGGGAAAAATAATTTCTATCAAAGGTGATGCATATGTATGTTCCAACATATCAGCCAAGATTTTAGTTTCCCCTTGAAGCAAAAGTGAACTTTATATTTATTGAAATGGCCTTCATGCTTTTATTGGTTTCCTCTGATGTTATAAATGTTGGAATCAACTTAATGCAAGTTACTCTATTCTATGGTAGTAGACTAAAATCTTAATGATTACTTGAGCAACCTTATTGTCTGCATCCTTGTTGATGACTGCTGACTGCAGGGCATGAAGCAGAGCTGCCACCAGCCCCTCACACTCCCTCAGCCTCTGTCGAGCTTCTGCTCCATCAGAGCTGACATTCCTACAGAAACATCTCTGTTACAGGAATCCTTACAAGCACTTTTTAAATCTGTGACAGCAGCTATGCTTTACCTCAGGCATCCAGTGGTGTTCTTGAAGACGGTGGTCCACTCAGCACTCAGCGGTTTAGATGCATCAACAGAGTCTCTCCTCCTCCAGCCTGAGTGTGGGATGATGATTTCATCAGTCAGGGTTTGCAGTCCCTGGTTGATGATTGTCATCTTTAGGGGTTCATGTGATGAGAGGTTCCACAGAGTGCCTGCAGGGTTATTGAAAAAATGAAGATGTTTAAGAAATCATTTTAAAAGTAGAGAAGTCTCTACCTGTGGCTGAAAAATATATATCCCTGTACCTGTAGCTAACTCTTTGACTTCCATGCTGCTAGACTTCCTCAGCAGTCTAACTAAAGCTTGGATGCCATCACAGCTCTTGATGGCCATTTTGTTGTTGTGGTCTTTCCCATAGGATATGTTGCGCAAAGCACCACAGGCCTTACGATGGACCTCAGGCTTGGGATGGTCCAACAACTCCACCAGGATTGGCACCCCGTTCAGCTGCCGAACCTCTTGTTTGATCAGGTCGTTTTCATAACACAGGTGCTGCAAATAGGCAGCTGCATTGGACTTGACTGGGTCCATTGGGTGCCTGAGCATGGAGATCACCTCATGCAGGTTGGGGTCTCTCCAGCGTGGGTCTCTTCTGATGCTATCCAGGCTTACCATACTGCTGCGTTTGTGGGGCACCTGCAGGGTCTGTGCTCGGCACATGGCCTGGAAGAAAGGATTCAGGTTCCCTTCCAGCTGGGCCATAAATGCATCATCATAGCCGCTTCTGCAAAGACACAAGTTGGTCCACATTTAATAAATAAAATTCATGATAGAGTCTTTCATGGAGAGAACTGAATCTATATTTGTATCCTAGCAATTTAAAACTGGATAAAAAAATTTTTTGATCTGACATTTTAATGCTCCTTAACACATTACCTACAGCATTTAGATTACATATATTAATTAGCTGTGCAAAAAATGCCCCGAAAAGGCTACAAAAACAAGCGAGCTGGTCCATCCCCTCATTCTGCTGCCTCTTAAGGAAATCAAAATGCAATAAAAATCTTGAGAAGTTAATAAAGGGCAATGCAGTCCAACACAAAAAAGGTAAAAACGATCTGTTGCTGCTGCGATCAACTGTCCAAAGGATCCACCTTAAAAACTCCCTATTCAAAAAAGCCTTCGACTTTTTTGGTAATTGCTAAGTTTGACCTTTTGATTTTCATCCTCTGAGTCCTTTTTTTCAATATTATAAAGCTACTGCTGAGTTTTAAAAATGTCATTATTGCCCATTGTTTTGGTTGCTTGAAATCCTCACAGTGTTCTCACTTGCTTACAATTATTTTGGCCACATGAATGTGAAATCTTCAGGCATCTGGATATCATCATCATCATCATTTTAAAACTGCTACAGCTCAAAACAAAGTGCTGAACATAGCTGAAAACAATAAAACACAATAAAATAATAAAATACAGCATAAAAATATATAATAAGGCAATAATAAGAATTTTTTAAGCTAGATAAACTGTCCTGTTAAAAGCCAGCAATAAAAATAAGTATTGAGCTGTATTTTAAAAATTCGGCAGGGAAGGAGCCTCCCTAATGTGCAGCAGGAGGTTCTGCTGACCTGATGGACCAAGGAGGCAAGTAGGGGTGTAGAAGCTCAGAGAGGTAAGATGTGGCAAGTGATTTAGGCAGTTAAAAACTTTTAAAATGAACTGTAAAATGCACAGGCAGCCAGTGGAGAGAACCCAGGGCAGGAGTGATACAGTCATATTTTGTAGTAGCAGTTGAAAGACCAGCAGCTGCGTTTTGCATCAGCTGTAAGGGAGGAAGCAAAGATTGACACATGACTTGCAAATTATTACCCAAGAATAAACCAAACTTCAGGAGGTGTAACAATCTCTGGCATATGTTTTTTTTTGTTATTTAGTTTGTTGTTCTAATGGTTTCCATAGGGAAGCACTGTGCCTAAAGTGTCCTAAGGCTTACCTCTGTTGACCTGGATGTTGTTAATCAGAAGCTTACAAAGCTTCTCCATCTATGTAGATTTCAGACTTTGATCTGGACTCAACGGTATGTATTTGTGGATTATTTTTTTGTGACTTTATGTCTTAAATTAAATATCTGGGCATCTGAATTTGCTATCAACTTTAAAACTCTCCCAATTTAAGCCCTGTTGGTTCAGGGTAAAGGTTCTTTGATACTCATCCATCCCCCCCATCCTCCATCCATGCATCCATCCCTCCCTCCATCAATCCATCTATCCATCCATCATCCCTTTCTCATCCATCCTTCCATCCATCCATTCATCCTTCCCTCCATCCATCAATCCATCCCTCCCTCCCTCCATCCATCCCCCCCTTCCTCCATCCATGCATCCATCCCTCCCTCCATCAATCCATCTATCCATCCATCATCCCTTCCTCATCCATCCCTCCATCCATCCATTCATCCTTCCCTCCCTCCCTCCATCAATCCATCTATCCATCCATCATCCCTTTCTCATCCATCCTTCCATCCATCCATCCATTCATCCTTCCCTCCCTCCATCAATCCATCTATCCATCCATCATCCCTTTCTCATCCATCCTTCCATCCATCCATCCATCCATTCATCCTTCCCTCCCTCCATCAATCCATCTATCCATCCATCATCCCTTTCTCATCCATCCTTCCATCCATCCATTCATCCTTCCCTCCATCCATCAATCCATCCCTCCCTCCCTCCATCCATCCCTCCCTTCCTTCATCCATGCATCCTTCCCTCCCGCCATCACTCCATCTATCCATCCATCATCCCATCCTCATCCATCCTTCCCTCCATCTATCAATCCATCCATCCCTCCCTCCATCCATCCATCAATCCATCGCTCCCTCCCTCCCTCCATCCATCCATCCATCCATCCCTCCATTCATCCATCCATCCATCCATCCATCCATCCATCCATCCATCCATCCATCCATCCATAACCCCTCAGATAATTATAGCATTCACCTTTTTAGTTCTAAGTCATATTAAAAAGGCTAAGCTCCCATGTCTGACTCAGAAAACCAAAATGGCTGCATCATGGATTAACATCAGTCAAAACTTCCAAATTAAGCCTAATGTTTCCAGTTATGCCAGTCAAACCAAAACTAATTACCATTTTAAACATCTTGTTGAGGTGCTTAAATGTATATCAATTTAAGAATTATTATCCTAATAATTCTGATTATTAGCATAATAATCAGATATTCTCATTATTCTTATTAAAGATTGACAGTCACACAGGTTTAATTGTTTTCTGTCTCAGTTATAACACATCTTATGAACAAAAGATTGAGATTTTCTGGTGCTGCTTCTAAAACCTTGGTTTGTTCAGTAACTCACAATGAGGTAGCAGCCTAAAGCCACATGCTCAACATTAAAAAGCAGACAAGGGAAATGTAAGTACATGAGAATAAAACTACCAGTTGGATATTTTTCCAGTCATTTTGGTGAAGGATGTTGTGAGCTAGCTGTCATGCTGGTACTGCGGGCACTCTTTAGAGGTTGATAACTGAAAGTTGTGGTTATACAACCATCTCAAAAGAAATACTGTGCAGAGGAGAGGAGAGGAGTGGAATTAAGTGTCTCTCTATGCCCACTAAAATTGGCTTTGAAGGGAAAAGTGCAGAAGACAAAGTAGAGTATAGAGAATTGAGCAGTGAAGTGTAAAATAATTTTACCAAGGGACCTGATACAGGATCCAACACACTCACAGAGTCTGGCTAATGCGCTTGTTGCTCAGGAAAATGTGGAAAGTCCGTTTCATCATTTACTGATACCATTTGTTATCCGTTTATTTCAAACAGACTGTAGATCTGAAACACTGATTTGTTTGATTACGATACATATTTCAACTTGATCCACAACAGATGGCTGTAAGCTAAAAAAAAAAAAAGGCAGCTTCTTTGCACAAACATAAAGCCCTATCTTTTTTATGTGCTTAATGAGATTTTTCAGTCTAATCTTTTGTGACGTTATTATATGTGACATGTTGTTTAATAAAAGTATTATTTAAAGTATCTATTATGTATCTGGTCATTGCCATAAACCCTGAATTTGAGTCAATTATTTATGTTTATATTGGGGTAAATGTTGCCTGTTTTGTTCAAAAAACAATTAATTGAATATATGTTAAAAGCTGAAACAACAAATTAATCATAAAGTATTGGAATCCCTTTTTTTGCTATAATATTAAAATGACAACCTGCAACTTCCCATGAGCCTTTTCATTAAACCTTTGACATGTTTGATTCATGAACTTCATTTTTGCTGTCTGACAATTTAGAAAAGACATTTGCTGCCAAGGTTACTTTTTAGTAAAAAAAAAAAATTTCCAACTCTAAACTGAGGTGTTTAATTTTTTTCCCTTTGATTTCTCTTATATAATTAATTTCTACCAAGATAAAAAAAAAACTATAAACTAGTTTAAATAATGGAAAAGTATTCAATTTATATGCTTCAGATTGTCAGACGTTCTTTTGCAATGTATCTGCCGCATGAATTGTTTTTAGGTATTGCAACTGGGCTTTACATAAAGGAGAAGGATCTGATTTTTTTTTTCATAATCCTTCAGCTATAGAAAAAAAGAAAAACGAAACAATGACAACCCACTCATTGAGTTAGTAGCAAGAAATGTGAAGGTCTAACTATGTACATGTTGAATAAAACAGCTTTCTTTGTGCAAAAGACTACGGTTTGGTGCTTCTTTTGTAAACAGTTCTATCACTCTTGTGTAGGCCAAGGGAAAGCTTCTGGCAGGCAATAACACTTGAAACCTCCTTATCTATCAACTTTGCAGCAGCAGACTGCCATCCCTGATTGATACCAGTTGCAGCTTAACTGCTGTCCATCTGTCTTGTTATTATCCACCCGGACTGAAAGGATCGGAGCTGAGCTGCATCCTCCGGATGTGTGCAGCCATAGAGTTTGACATAGGTTTTTGTCAAAGCAAGCAAATGAAAAAAAAAAAAAAAAAGAATTATTGATTTCATAGATTAACTGTTGGTAGCCCCATGTATGCATTCCCTTTGTTTATAATGCTAATTTGCATACTGTTGAGGGCAGTGAAGTCACATAAGTTTTATGATGTAGTAAGTAATTAAAAAGAATCTTAAATAATCTTTTATTGCACTCATAAAGCCTTTTTTCTTCCATTACATGCACACTTCGCTCTTAGAAACCCTTCAGATACATTAAAAGACGCATGGCTATATCTTTCTAAAAGAGGCGTTTATCTTTCCCTTCTAGCTAAAAGCACATAATACATTTCCAATTAAAACTGCTCGAACATTTTCAGATTTATCATGCCTCTAACTCCAGTGTTTGTTATTGGTGTTTTTTTCTTTATAGATCAACATATAGGTAGTCTGTTAGGTTTTCATTCAGGTTTAAACTGTATTATATTCTATCCATTTTCAGTCATTTCTAATCTGCCAATCTTCCCCTGATGAAGGAAAATATTATATGATGCTGCTACTACCTTACTTTATAGCAGCAATGCTATGTTCAGATGACATGAAAGCTTTTTATGATGTGTAGAAAGATTTAACTGTTAGGAAGACTTTGCATACTCAACACAATCAACAAGAGTTTTAAATTAAAACTCTTCTGGGTTTTCACAATGTTTACTGTTGTAGAAAATCCTCTCACCTGGTTCTCGAGGGCTCCCGAAGGAGCTCCATAGTGGTAATTGGTCTAAACTGGGGGATTCCCAGTGTGTGGTAACCGGTGCCTGGCAGGTCAGTCTTCACATCCAGAGGACTTTCTCTGTTCTCTTCTGTCTGGTTGCTGAGGCCTGTTGAGGCATAGCTGTCCCTCAGGAACGGTAAGGTGTAGTGGGCGCCGGGCTGGAAGTTTTTGGTGGGCAAGTAGCCGTGAAGGCCGAAACGAGAAAGGCTTCCATATCCCGCGCAGACATCGCCTCCAATGCCCCTGAAGGCATCAGGGAGGGCGTAGACTCTGTTCTGGCTGTCTGGGTTTACAGGATGAGGCTCACCAGACGGCAGCATTGGCTGGGGGAGAACTGTTGCAGTGGTAGTGTTGCTGGTTGTTGTGTTTGGCTCAACATTTGCCTCAGCAGTGGGTTTCTCAGTTGATGTGTTCTCTGTAGCCTCTTGAACCAATGTGAGATCTGGAGTATCTGATGGGAGGATGTTCTCCTCTTTAATCCCCTCTTGGGTCTCACTGGGTGCCTTTTCACCCTCTTGTTCCACAGCCTTGGACTCCTACAAAAAATGCATCCGCCACAACAATATATATAAATGTTTCCCGTCAACAACAACAAAAAGATCTGCCCTAGTCTTTAAAACCTAATTTGCCTAAGTAGTCTGCAGGGTTCTTGTCTTATTCTGAAAATGCCACTTGATGTAGCTGCTTACATTATGAACAAGAAGTACATAATCTCAGTATACTTGGAATTGCCAAAGCAAGTTTTTGATGCTCGCACTGTAATTAGCATTTTGTTTCAACCATACATAGAGTACCATCCCTTTTCTCATAGCCACTATTAATCATCATCTTTTCAGCACATCCTTGGCTTTCTAAGCCTTCTAATAAATTATGAATTCTGCTTTCATGCCAAAGAATAATAAATCTCCCTTAGTCTAGATAGGACTCTGGTGAAACAACAGAGGTTCATCCTGTGTTTGATAGCAAGATAGATTAGAGTAAATTTGATTTTCAAGTGTGGGAAATTCATTGGGATTTTAGCTTTTTTGTTCCAAAACTGCAAAAATATTGTTAGTTTTCTATGAATTTTTAAGACAAAAACAGGTTTTTCAGCAAGTTTTATGAACCTCAGAGTCAGTCTGCTGCGGGGTGTCAGTTTCTGTGGAGCTTTCATTGGTTGAGGTCATCACAGAGGCGATGGACGTGGGCGTGTCCAGTTCGTCAGTGGCTGTCGGGTTTTCATTGGTTGCCTCTTTAGTGTCCTGGGGCAAAGACAGTGGAGATGGACCCTCCAAACTCTGCTCCTATAAAAAACAAATACAACTGTGGGTAAGTACCTGTTATTTATATTAAGTTTTTCTTTTTTGGTATATTGTCCATCAGGCTCAGTAAACACTGAACAAATATAGAGATAAATTCGCAACATACAATATTGGCTGGTGTAAAAATGGACCGTCAAACATTTGAGTTCATGCTAAAGAATTTTTACCAAATCGACATAGAAAATACAGCTTCCTCTATATTTAGCTGTGTCTCTTAACGAAGGCGTCCCTAACAAAACTATGCCTCCTATCACCTTTATGTTCTCTCCTTGTTTTTCATTTCATAGAAAGAACTCATTGCTCAGTCTTTTTTGTTATTAGTTGTGTTTCTAACCTGGATGAAGCAACTAACGGTGCTATTGCTGCTATCAGTTTCTTACCATTATGGTTTCATGATGACACTCAGGATTATTGATTCTTACCAGTGACTGATTTTCATGAATCCTAACTCCACTTAGTTCTGATTGAGACTTTCCTCCTGATAAAATGGGTGTTGTTCTTTTCCGCCCTTGCCACATGCTTCTCAGATTGAGGGATTACCTTAAACTAAATGACTCCAAACAAGCAGCTGACTTTTCTCTTTTCTAGGTAAACGCTTCACCAGTTGACATTGATTGATTATCTTAATTAAAAAATATTACAACAAGGAACATTGGGATTTAGTCTATTATATCTGAAACTAAACATAAGGTTTGATTATTTTGGACTAAATTAACTTAGTTTAATCTGCATGCTGGGAAAAATTCTTTACCGCTTCATAGATTTCTTCTGTTTTTGTTTCTGCACACATACATGCTCCAGCCCAAAGAAATATAGGCACAATCTCACTTACAAACCAGAAGCATAATCAAGCATAGCCAATATTTGAATAGAAAGAGCTAGATGGCATCCTAAACACAGGTCTCAAACTTCAGTTTTAATGTCTCAGTGTCCTGCAAATAGTAGATGTTTATCTGCTTCTACACGCCTGAAATGGCTAAATTACCTCCTTAGCATGCAGTCATGCTCCGCAGAGCTCTGCTAATAAGCTCATAATTTTAGGTGTGTTGTAGCAGAGACCCACCTAAAGGCTGCAGAACTGGAGATCTGAACTAGAGAGCTCCTTTACTGAAATCATTGCTGCATTACAAATTAGCATTATTGCAGTTCCTTCCTCTCAGCAGATGTCAGCCTTTAAATCATCTCTGCCCCAGCAATCTCAATAAATGTTTTAACAACTATGATGTTACTTGATCATTTTCCTTATTTTCTTTTCTGTAAATGGTTGGTTGTGTTTTTTTTTTTTTTCAGGCACAATTAGAGATGTGCATTTTCTTTGTTTCTTATCAACCAGTCATGTTGCACAACTAACTGAATCCATTCTCTATTCGAATTTAAGATTCCTAGCTTTGTGTGAGGTTTTTGTATATATTTTTTTGTCTTAATCAGGCGTGAAATGTACTTTTACTTGCCTTTTTACTCTGCTTCTGTCCCACATACATTTCCCCACTAAGAGACAATATGGATGATTTGATATGAAGGATGATGTTTCTATTTTTGTGCTATAGAAACAGGTCTTAGCAACTGGAATTTAGGAAAATAGTTTCAAACTCAGATCCTCATGGGCCGGTGTCCTGTACCTTAGATGTGTCTCTGCTTCAATAGACCTGACTCCAATAGAAGCTCATTAGCAGGGCTTGACTGCTGCTAATGTGGTAGTTAGGCTGTTTGATTCAGGTTTTTAGTATAAGGGATAGATCTATATTTAGCAGATCCCCAGTCCTGGGCGATTTGGTTTAAGAGCTTTACAATTTCCTTTAACCAAATATTAAAGGGAACAGGTGCTATATATATTCAAGTATAGTAATTTTGTGACTCATAAGAGCATATCATGATAAAAAAAGAAAGTTTGCTAAGAAAGTTATTCAGTATTTCTATTAAACAACCAACACCATTAAAAAGTAGCTAAAGAACATAAAACTTAAAATTTAATGTTTTATATAAAAGATATTATTTCAGGTTTGAAATAATTTCATTTTAAACCTTTTTTTATGTGTTTTAAAATTGATTACACCACATTTAAAATGTATCCTTATTGTTTTTAATTTGTTATACTTTGCTTTGATATATGGTAAACCTGATTCATTTTCTAATACCATGCTACAGATACCACTGTTATCCATTAGTTCTCCAGAAAACTGTAAAAGTGCAGAAAGCCTCAGTTCCTTTAAATGAAGACTAAAAACAAATTTGTTTAGGATTGCCTTCGACTGTTCTAGTTAAACAGTTCAACTGAAACATCATTAGTTCAACTTTTTATTTCCTTTAGTCCAACTGTTTTTAATGTTCTTTTTTGTATCTGCATTTTTTATTTTATTTTTTTTTCCTACTTGCTTTGAATCTGTTTTATTTTCCTATATTTTAATAATGTAAAGCACTTTGCATTGTCTTTGTACTGAATTGTGCTATACAAATAAATTTGCCTTGCCTTGCCATTAGTAACTTCCTGTTTCTTACTGTATGTGTGATTTATTTTATCTTCATACTGCTCTGGGTTTTGCATTGATTGTGTGTGATAAACTGCACAAAAATGTTTGCGTGGAAAAGCTCAGGGCCTCTCAGAGGCTCCTCCACGGTCTGTAAGCTTTGTGGGATCCTTGAAATAAACAGACAAAATAAGAAAATCTGTGACTCAAGATAGGAAAAAAACTCCTATTACCATTCAACCAAACTATTAAAATATACATTTTTATTGCAAATCAAAGAGAGGCCATAATAAGTAACTTGAAGATATAAATCTGATGTGTAAGAAAGCGTGATCTGTATCATTTGGCATCTGCTAAGTAAGCAGAAAATTGCCTTCTTATTTACTTGCTCACTGGAGTGTGATTTCATTTATTTTAGCCACAATGGGTCATTCCTGGACGCCTTGGCTCTATTCCTCTTGCACTGAGTAATTACTTGCCTGTATGAAATTGATTAAGCGATTGGCCAGCATTCTCTGCTTTTATTAAAATGTCTAACACCTAATGGAATGCTTTCATATGATTTGTAGAAAAACCTACCCGAAACATTTTATGACAAGAGTTTCAAAGGTTGAGACTAAAAACACAAAAAGAAAAGGAATACATCTTGAGATTTGTCATCTGTGTTTCAACCCAGATTGCTATGAACATAAGGGAAAAGCTGAAGCTACTTGTTTTGTTGTTGTTCCTGCTGCTTTTGTTTGCCGTATTTATTTGTACCATGCCTCTCTGGTGCAGTTTAGTAGGTCAACTCCACTGGTGAAAATATAACACATGTACTATTTGTCTGGCTGTCTGTCGGCAAGTGGAGGCCAAACTGTTGAATGTTATTTGTGGAGCCTTTCATTTTATCCTCACTATGTTATGTATTTATGGAAGATTTGGGACAACGCTGTAATAAACTTGGGCACCATTATCTTCGTCTAAGGCTGCCATACTGTCAGGGAGTAACAAAAGCTTTTTAGGGCCTCTCAGAACAAGTTTTCTGTTGGTTTTTTTTGCCTATTTAGTTAGTGACATGTTATAATAGCACACTCCTCAATAGAGAAATCCATGTCAGTTTATTCTGCGCTAAACTAAAGGGTTGAAACGCTGTACTATAAAGGATTTTACCAACATATTGAGACTGGTCAAACCTTACCTGGTTGGTTCTTAAAGAGCAGAGTTCATTCAAATGCAGCTTAAATGGGTAAAATATTTATTCAATCTATGAAACCCGCAAAACAGAATGTATTTCCCACCATATATTTTTGAGAGTAATAGACTTAAACACATGGGAAACTGCAATATTCAGACAAGTCAAACTGAATTATTCTAAAGTGATTATGAAACTTTAGTTTTAATAAGCAGTGCACCCAGGAAGCCAGTTTTTGAAGAACTACCACTGCATGTGATTAATTCCTGCATTTAGTGTAAGATGTTGACCTTGCTTTGGAAAAGTATTAAAAACACTGGAAATTCCTCACCTTTTGTCTCGTTGCAACTAAAACGGTACTTTAGGTAAATCAAGACAAAGTTATGCATAAAGGTCCAGTAGAAAAATGTGTTTCTTTGGCCAAAACAAATCTGAAAAGTGGAGTATGTGTATGAATTTGGGCTTATTTTAAGTCACCTGATTAGTTGAGTGGTTTATTCAAAATATGGAAATAGCTGTTCTCATTCTGGCCGTAAAGGTTTGCTTAGGAACATCATTGAACAGACAGCATTATGAAGGAAGGCAATATAAAGGCCACAGAGAAAGCTGTGGAGGTATTTATGGCATAGGTTATAAAACGTTATTCTAAGCTTTGAAGATCTTTGTGATGGCTGTTAAATACAGCTTTCAAAAAGGGAAAGAGAAGGTCCCAACTGCAAGAGTTTTAACCAACTACTACTCTAACAGAATACACTGATGTTTCTGATCTGTTACAAAATGTGGAATACACTGGTGTTAATACTTTTACAAAACCGTATTTGTGTTATTTCTTTCGTTTACCCTTGTTTAATTTATGCATAAGTTGAATTCCCTCTCCCTTTCATTATATTGCATTGCATTACGCTTTAAGGATTAATTATTTAGAATCTTGGTCTAAAAAGGAAAATAAAAACAACCAGAGGCCCTTTAACACATTTAATGATCCAATTCTTTTTACAAAGTTCACAAAAACTGGATTTGTTGCTCTATTGATCTGAATGCAAAACAGATCCTCTGATGCAGCTGAATTCCCCCAATAACGATACAAACCACCTTTGAAAAAAATGCAGTACATCCAAAAATGCACCTCTTCACTGAACACTTCATTAGTCATTTTTTTATTTGAATGCTTTCTGCATTAACTAAATGATCTTTCACTTTGAAAAATGAGCGTAATAATCCTACCAGAAAAGCCCCACGGGCTTGTTTTCAATATGCTGAAGCATCTGCTGAGATTAGAAGCAGATAAACTGATTAATTTCTACAAATTATCATTTTCCAAAGCTGCAAAGTCCAACCAAACAGTAAGACAAAATCTGAACTCCAGCACATTAAATCTGTAGGGAGATGACGGCTGGAAGTGGAGAGGGAGAGAGCTTGATTTTCAAACACCTCACAAAAGACAAGAGCCCTCTCATATCCCTGTACAAAAACATGTCGGAGGGAAGAGGAGATAAAAGGGCCAACCAGGAAACACTGGCAGTGGAGAGAGATCATCCTGGTCTGATCACCTCTGGGGGAGGCTGATTGGATATTGTTAGGCGGCACTAAATGAATGCTTGACCAGGAGACAGGCGAGGTGCCACTGTCCTCTACAGACAGCTTGATTAAGGATTTGGAGGATGATAACAGGCTGGACACGAGCCTGTGTGCTGCTTTCTCTGTCTGATTCGAGCTTCAGGGATGGCCGGGCCACGGTATGAGTCAAAGCTTATTTAAATAACTCACTGCACCATCACTGAGTACGCTCTTGAAGCCAAATAGGTCAGGTGGAAGCTTCTGGTTTGGAGCCGGCTTAAAGGCAAAAAAAACAAAACAGTAGGTCTGTGTCAAAACACCACAAATGGTATTCAGTCCTCATCAACTTTTAGCATAAAGGCCAGCTGAGGTCAGTTTTGAAATTATGGAGATGTGAAGCCAGATATAAACTTAAATGTCTAATTAAAATGAGAAATAAATTTGAAAATCAGGTACACTGGATTGCAGCGAATTAGAGCCAATGGAAGAGCAGCTTCGTTTGAAGAAAAAAAGACTCTTTAGGAAACTGCAGAGCTGACAGAGTGTTGCCTCGACAGGACAATAAAAGAAGACATCAGCCAAGCGATGTCAGAAAACATTAACAACTTTGTCACCACACTCGCCTGCAAAGCTGTGCAATCTGTTGAATGAGGGGGTTCATGATTTTGGAGGAGAATCTGTGTACTGCAAATGGAAACTGTATTGAAGTGGAACAGTATTAGATTTTCTCCAGCGGAAACCCCATTGCTTCCTTTAAATCTTCTTATCCTTGACACAACTTCTTTTACAGGAAAAAAAAGTATGTTAAATGAAAAGGGGGGGATTTTTCTGAATGTTTCAACATTTTTAATCTTGAAGGGGACATCGAGCATCATGATGATGTCTAGATAGAAAACAGAAATAATTAAAGCATTTTTAGAAAATTTAAAAATGTAAACATTTATGTGCAAATGTGCAGCTAGCAGACAACCATTTTCTACCATCCGTTCAGTAATATGAATCAAATGTATTTATCTTTTAAGAGGAGAATTGGGTAATGTGTGCAAATCATAATGTCCCCCATTAACTTCATCTGACTTCTTGCAAAAAAAATTTGCAAGAAGTAAGATGATACACAACTAATCACACATTTATTTATTTTTTTTGTTATTATCCTTTTAACCGTACAGAAGAAAAGCATCCTCACAG